TTTTGTTGTTACTTGTTATTGACATTTAACACATGTTATGTTCATAAACTTTTACTTTTAATCATTAATATTGCATACGTCTTTAATTTGAGTCTTAATTTTATATTTTTCAGCATATACATATATATATATATATATATATATATATATGTATATATACATATATACATATATATGTATATGTATACATATATGGGAAAGAATCTTCTCACACTAGTATAAATCTAAAAACTCTCATACTCAATTTAAGTTTTTTATTTAACTTACATGTAATGATTAGTGAAGTAATAAATTATAACTCATTAGATGTAAGTTAAATCAAAGACTCAAATTAAGTGTAAAAGTTTTTAGACTTGCATTAGTATAAGAAAATTATGCCCCTATATATATATATATATATATATATATATATATATATATATATATATATGGTATATTTAAAATGTGTAAAATAGTGGTCATCCCACTATAGCATTTTTAGGGTCAACCACTCTATGCCACTATTCAGAATTTACTACTATGAATAAGACTCACTTTATAAGAACATGACTACTTAGTTAATAGGAGAAAAGATAAAAGATTTGGAACAATTGCATAATAAAGAAAGCATAATTCATGAAAACTCTTAGTTAGATATGATGTTAGAAATCAATAAATGGGATAAAGATAAATAAAATTGAGGTTAAGATTATAATAAGGATCAATTGTTTAAAGGTGAGTCTACTAACGAGAAGACGGTGTTGATCTTAATGTTTTTGAAGACAAAAATAAGAAAAAGGATAGAGAAACTTTGTTGGTAAAGAAAAATCTAGGTAAAGACATTGAATTTAAATATAGAGAATGAAGCACAATGGAGGAAATTATAGGTTTTAATGTTTATGACAAAAATTAGAAATTTAAAATTAGAAGAGGAGGAAAATAGTAAAAACAAACATTTAAGTTTAGAAAAATTTATGGAAATTGACGAGATAAATAGTAAAATAGTTAGAAATAACATAGAAATGAAAACTAATGTGACTCAATTAGATTTGGACATTCTGAGAATGTTGTCTTAAATTCTAGTATTGATAAATGAATTGTATGTTTTGGAATTGTAGTGGGGCAGGTGCAAAAATCTTTCATAGACTTGTAAATTATTTAATTAGAATGTGCAGTTTAAATTTTATAACTTTACTTGAACATAAAATTAGTAATAAGAAAGCTGAAATGACTATAAAAAAATTAAGATGACCAATAATGTTTGGGGGTTGATACAATTAGCTTTTCTAGTAAATAATTTTATTCACTAGTCTATATCTTCTAAAAAAAAATTTCCGTGAATATTAATTGTCATCTATACTAGTTTTCAAGAATGTTATAGAAATTTAAATTTGCAAGAACTTATTAATTTTAGTTTAAATTTTAATTCTCCTTGGTGTGTAATTGAAATTTTTAACTCAATTTTATATGAATATGAAAAAAAAGGAGGTGTAATAGTAAATAAGAAGGCTATTTAAAACTTTTCTACTTACTTAGACTTTTCTAGTATTTCTGATATGAATTTTAAAGGAGTGCCTTTTACTTGAAAAAAAAAATTTAAGAGAAAGGATTGATAGGATAATGATAAATAATGATTAGAGATCTTTCTTTCCTAATTATTCTTTTATTCATATCTCTATTATGAAATCTAATCATACAACTCTATGGCTCAAATTAGATAATTCTTAACTTTCTATTAAAAAAAATAGACCTTTTAAGTTCCTAACTCTTTGGTTCACTCATCCTAATTTTAGAAATCAAGTAAATCAGAATTACCTCTCTTAATTTTAGTAATATTTTTGTTAAAGTAAGGTGGATATTTAATATAATAGATTAAATTCACAAAAAATTCAATAATTCTAATAATTCTTTCTTGATTGATCTTTTATCAATTCTCTAGAAGAAATATGAAAATATTTTAGATCAAGAGGAAGCTTATTAGTTTTATCAAGCTAGATCAAAATGAATAAAATTAGGGGGATAGAAACAACATATTTTTTATCAATCAATTTTGATCTATTGACATAATAACAATATTGAAGCCTTAAGGAATAATAATGATTAATGGTGTTTTGATCCTTATAAAATTAGGAGTCTAATTCAAAATCACTTCAAATCAAGTTTTCTCAGGGAATTTACATGTTAAAATTAGTTTTGATTCTCATATTCTTTTAAATCACTTCAAATGAAATTTTTTTTATCCTTCTAAAATTGGTGTTGTGAATCAAACAATATTAACCTTTATCTATAAGGTCTTAATATAGAAAATATTACTCAAAATAGACCAATTTTTCTTTAATGTTATATATAAAATTATTACAAAAATTTAAATTAATAGAATACAATTTCTCCTCCCTAATGAAAACTAGTGTAATTTTGTTCTCGAGGGTTCTCGAGGCAAGGGATAGATAATATAATTATTCTTGAAGAATTAATCCACTTTTTAAAAAATTTGAAAGGTAATTTATGGTTCTTAAACTCAATCTTTATAAAGCTTATAATAAACTTAGTTGGAATTTTATTAGAGAGACTTTGGATATGGTTGATTCTAAAAAAATTAGATTAATCTAGTTGTTGAACGTATTCTCTCTTTTTCTTTCAAAATTAATTGTAATGGTGATCTTTTGGATAGTATTTTTTCTTCTAGATGTATTCGTCAAAAGAACCATTTATCTCCTTATATTTTTATCCTTTATTTATAAATGTTAACTTATTACATTTAATTTACGGTCCAAAATGGTGAGTGACTTCCTTTTCGGTTTGGTAGGAAGGATTCTAGAATTTCTCACACTTTTTTACATAGATGATTTAATTTTAGTTTTTATAGCCTCATTAGATCAAGTTAATCTTATTCAATCTATATTGCATTTGTCATGTATAACTTCTGATTAACAAGTAAATTATAATAAATCTTTTATTAAATTATAATAAATCTTCTATTTTTTTCTCTACAAATATCAATTCTAATATTAAAAAAAACTTAGTAAAAGATTAGGGATTAAATGAATTGATAATATGGATACTTATTTGAGTATTTTGGTCTTTTGTAAAAAATCTAATAAAGCTCTTTATTCAAATTTAATTGATAAAATTAAAAAAAAACTTTTTAATTGGAAAGTTAATTCTATTTTCTTTGCTGGTAGGGTCACTTTACCTCAATCTAGTATTATGGACATCCTAAACTATACTATGCAATCTCATCTTATTCCTTTAGGAGTTTGTGAAGAAATAAATAAACTCTAAAAGAAATTTAACATAAGAATCTTCTTATAAAAGGAAGTGTTACTTAGTAGCTTGGAACAAAATTTGTAAATTCAAATGTCAGGCAGCCTCAGATTTAAGGATATACATCAAACAAACATAGCATATATGATGAGATTAGGTTGACATTTAATTAACGATCCTCATTATCTTTGAGTTAGGGTGTTGTTAGCAAAATATAAATTCAATTTAGAAAATAATCATATTATTCCTCACTCAGGTTCTGTTTTTGTTTGCTAGAAAGGTATTTGTAGTGCCTAGGCCAACTTAAAAAGAGGGTTGTTTTGGATTAAAGGTAATGGCCTAACTTTAATTTTGAGATGATTTCTAGATTCCTAGATTTAAAAGACTAGTTGACTGAAATCGTTATGTCCTTGAATGTTTGCTAAGTCTTTCAGTGGCTGATTTTATATCAAATAATTATTAGAATTGGAAAAAGAAATTCCTTGCATTATAGCTCAAACTAAACAGGTTATTAATAGTCTTATTATTCCCCAAGTAATGCTAGTCCATATATGGCTAGTTGATTTTTTTTCTTCTAATGGTAATTTTTCTTCAAGTTTTACTTTTTCTATTCTAGAAACTAATTTTGATAGTGACGAATCTAAATTGTTAGTTTAATCTAAAACTGACAAGATCCTCTTTGAATTAAATTATTTTTTTAGAAAATTGTTCATGATAAATTTTTAACTAATGAGAAGTTTAAAAGGAGTTTTTTCAAATTCTAGTTTATGTGATAAATATTGTAATAATTGTGAAATTGTGATGCATATTCTTAAATATTGTGATTTGTATATGATATGTGGCATCCTTTTATTGTTGAAAATTATAGTATTCCCTTTTTCAGTTTGAATTTAACTAAATGACTAACTTTTAACCTCAAAATTAACTGTTTAAATGGTATTAAACAATGGAATACTCAGTTTAGAATGCTATTTAGCTATTATGGTTAAATAGGAATAGTTGGATGTTTAATAGAAAATTTCTAAATTTGAAAGACTTCCTTTATAAGATGAAATGTTATATTAACCTCTAATGATACTTTATCCCCTTCTTCATCCTTTATGTAAATTCAAACTTAATTTAGATGGTTCAATTTATAGAGTTCAAAGACTGACAGCTTGTGAAGGTTTAATCAAAGATGATCAAGGCAAATTTTGTGCTGGTTTTATTAAGAAACCTAGGATCATGCTCAGTTATCTTTTTTGAATTATGAGCTCTTCTTTTAGGTCTTAAGCTAATTAGAGATCTCAAATTAGATGTTTCAGTTGAAATGGATTTCAATCTAGCTACTCTTTTAATTAATTCAAGTGTATCCATAAATAATTATTAGGAAGATCAAATTGTTTGTCAATTCCATTAGAATTGTTAATATTTATCATGTATTTAGAAAAGTTAATCGCTATGCAAACTAGCTACCTAACTGGGCTTTATCGTGCCTGAAATTAGTTAATATTTTAATATCTCCCATTACTTGTTTTCATCCTGAGAGAGAATGATACGGTAATCTTTTTTCCCAATTTAATTTGGTAGGCTTTTGTGTTTGGGCTTTTGCCCGGTTGTGAATAAGCGAAAAAAATTAAAATAGAAAGATTAGCTTCCCCTCCCTTTTCCAAATCTAACTCCCAAACGCACTTTAAAGAAACCTATATCCTCAATGAGCAAATTAACTCCATTCGTTTGCCTTGAATGACTCACTCCCAATCAAAACGTTAACAGGACAAGTCAATCGACAAAGATCAAGGAACATCATGATTTATCTCTCCATAATGAGTTTCCCCAGGCACAGGTTTTCTAAATTACATACTGATACTAAGCATCTCAAGATCAACCACATACAACATTTCTAACTTTCCACCCCAATTGCGCTATCGTCGCCTTCTAGCCTTCTGTACATCCCCTCACCTTCCACACACTGATACAAACACGCCCTAACAGTACAACTGAGAACAATAGCACAATACTCAATTTATACATAGACCAACCTAACTCAATCAGATATTAAAACAGGCTGTTCAAGTGCACCGGCTACCATGTTACTTATTTCTCCTTGAATATTCACTTAAAGCAGTGAATCAAGGTATGAATACTTTCGACACCGGCCATACTCAAGAAGGCTCCCATATGTACGATCCCAGACCCCAACAAAAAGGGACTCAGTATCTGGACTGAAAGATATGCCTGAAATCTCACCAAAGAAATCAATTTCCTGCTCCTTCTCGTACCCACTTTTCACATCATAGACATGCACAAAATCTGCTGGCTCTGCCACAGCCATGTACCGGCCATCTGAAGTATATCTGATTGAACGGATGGCTCCAAGGTTGCCCTTCAGCACAGCCACTGACTTGGATAAATTCCGCATGTCCCAAATTCGGCAGGTTTTGTCTTGGTTTCCAGTAGCAAAGGTGACACCATCAGGATGCCATGATGATGCAAATGAATAATCAAAGTGCCCAGACAAGGACATAATTGTCTGCAAAATTTAAAAAAAAAAAATACAAATAAGTAACTTGAATAAAGAATCGATTGTTTGTTGAACAAAAAGAAAGTAGAGTATTACCTTTCCATTTTGGGAGTCCACCAACATACCTTCAGGATGGTCTCCAACAATTAGGAGTAGTTTACCATTTGGACTGAGAGAAGAATGCTGCAGTAAAAGGGGCCAAAGATGGGGGGGCGGGGGGAATTAGAAAGCAAAGAGATGCTAAAAACTCAGGAACAAAAAAATTTATCTTGATTACAACAGGATTGTTATGCGATCATATTCCAAAGGTAGAGTGTTATTGGCACCCACATTCGTCTGTTATTTCTCTAAACTATTTCAATATTAAAAGTAGTAGCTAGAGAGGAGTAGGAATAGACAACAAAGACAAAACAGCCTTATCCATATCTCTAATGTGTAAGGAAATAAAAAAAACTGAAGTATCCATTTATCAGAGTTTGGAGGGAGAGAGAAACAAAGGTAAGAAAAAAAAAATCTTAAGGACTCACATTCACTGGCCAGGGAAAACGAAAATGCTTAGAAAACTGAAATTTCTCCATATCAAAGTCTCTGACTCCACAATCATTATTTGAGGCTGTGAAATGAACTGCACCACTAAAAATAGAAAGCAAGAACAATAAACTTAGCACCCATATCCATAAATAAAATAACAAAACCACCAGGAGAAGGAAATATAAATACCTAGGACAAGCATAAATCTCAATGGCATTGGTGATAGCGTTATCATCATAAGTTGTTCTTGTGCAAAAGCTAACACCAGGTCGATCTAGGTGCTGCATTCCAGTAACAAAGAAGGTGATAAAATCTTGATATCTGTTGATGGTTCTAAAACCAAGAACAAATCCTATGAGGGACAAGTTAGCAGCATCTGGAAGAGTAACTATAAAACAAAAGCATGTACAGTCTGATAGCAATAATCTACAAAAATATGCATCTGTATATGCCTACTAGAAATAACATGAATGAAAAGATAATCCAAATGGCGTTTGCAAAGAGAAGCTTAAAAATGAAATCCAGAAAGGAACAATAAAGGCAAAAAGGAGCAGAAACACTAAAGGACTCCACCGATATTCAATATTAATAACCAGTTTGATGACATCAAGTCAAAAACCATAATTATCTGACCCATACACTTCAGGCTTTTAATTATCAATATCAAGTGCAATAATGAACCAAGCCACATTGCAAAGTGGCAAAAACACCACACGCTCATTGAATTGTTTTCAAGCTCCACAGGGCCTATAAAATTTAGGGAACACAAGACTATGTCTGTGATATAGGAAGACACCAAAAAGGAAGAAAGGAACAACTGGCACACCTTCCCAGAACAATATTCTTTTAAGATCTATATATTTAAGGTTTCACAAAAAAGAAAGTCAAATGGTTTAGGGTCGAGTTTCAGAGGAGAGAGGGGTTTCAAGGTCCTAGTTAAAAACATCATGAATTTAAAACAAGCTTAACAACAGGGATACTTTAATTTCAAGACGGTAGCATTGATCAAGGTCTCTAGCAAATGGTAAAAAGGGCAACCAAAGAACCATAGAAAGAATCTGAATGGGAGCTTGCTATCAACAAAACCCTGGAAGTAAGATGAGCATGTGCAGTATAGAAGCAGACAGGACAAAATGCAGACCAATCCTGTGTTTTGGCTACAAAGATATATATTTTCAAGGCTGTTAACTGTTTCTTTTTCCCATGAAAAATAGGACAAAGACCTAGACACAAACTCATAATCCAAAGAAGATAATAACCATTTGAAAATTAAACTGTAGCTAATAGGACTATTTAAATTGTGACAACTTCTAATGCTGGAACTGTGATGACCATCAAAATTCAAAAAAGAAACTAAGAAACATAATTCTTGAGCTGAAAATTTAGAGTAAACTCCCATTTTAAACCTCAAGATTGCAGTATGTAAATTTGGTCCTTAAAATATTATTAATTTATTACATCAATTTGACTCTCATGATAATTTCTTGACATGAAACAGTCCAAAAGTTACTATTTACACGGACCAAATTGATGACACTCTGACCAAAATTTATTATTTGACGACCAATTCAATGTCACAAATCTTTCAAAAAGACCAAGTTGATGTTTCAAAAATTTGCTGAGGACCAAATAAGGGTTTAACTCTAAAAATTTAATATATTGTCAAAATTGTTTAAAACTCCCATTTTCAAAGATGAAGAGCATGTTGGAGACAGTGAATATTGATCCCATTCAACATCTACATCACATCATCCTGAATAAATTGTGAATAGTCTTACATTAAAACTAGAGAAATAAACTTTACAAAGCCATGCTGCCTCTTTCGGCAATGAAAGCTTTTAATCACCCTATAAAGAATTCAACAATAACTTCTATCTAACTGAGGAGTTAAGCATAAATCTAGTCAGCAAGAAGTAACCATGCATTTATACAACAATCTTAAAAAGGTTTGGATGATATGATGGTAATAACAGGGCCCCACCAACACTAGTAGGAGTTTGAAAACAATTCTAAACCACAGCGGATATGCTATTGAAATAACATGGAGGAAACTAGACTTCTATAATCATAAAGAATAAAGATCACATTATTCATGTAGAGGAAAAACTAAAACCAATGCACAAAGAAGAAAATAAGAGGTAAGTGTCTACACTTTACATTAGTCTCCAAAGACTGTCTGTACTTTCCTAATTTTCAACATATAGTTAAGTCTCTGAAACTCATTAACAGCTATTTGTTGATTTGTTACAGTAGTTTATAATATTACCCAAAAGACCCACTCATTGCCATACACAAGTTAATATTATGCTTGTGAGTTCTTCGCATATTGTTTTTATAAAATGTTTCATAAATTACTGGAGGTCGAGGAACACAATTTACAATTAATATATTATCTACTACAGATTACAAAAGCAATTATTCCTAATAACACATGCAAATCATCCAATTACCTTACAAATAAGTTCACCCTGAAATCCTCCAGCAACTAGAAGCTTGTCTTTCACTGCAAGCGTACTGACTTGAGTGTGAGTAAATCCCTCCAATAGACTCCCAGGATGTCTCTGACAATGGAAATTGATAGCTTGGAAGATAAGTCCACAATCAATTTAAATCATAAATGTACAAAATGAACAATCAGAGAAGTCTATAGCATTCAATTCAACAATTAGTATTAAAAGTAACACTCACCTCTGATGGTGCAACATGACCTGAAACATTGAGTACTTCTGACCTTGTGCAAGTCAAAGATGACCAATGCATTATAGAAAATTGGGACATAAGGTATACATCATGCTTTGATGTTGCCCATACCAAATTCCTCAACTGCATAATCATTTAAAAATAAAAGATGTCAATCAATCCCCACAACAGCAAGATCCTATTTTTTTGAAGGCCATACCATCAAAGTCACTGCTTGAGATTTTCATTTTATGAACAGATCATGCTACTTTGACAAAATATCAATCATACATTGAAGCTTTGCAGACCTCACAAAGCTCTCTCTACTATTGCCAGTGTTGTATATTCTGCTGATCTATAGACCAGTAATCAAGTACTTTTACACACACTGAATCTATAGACTATCTGCCTTTTTCTCTTTGTTAATATTGAATCCGTTCAAAGATTTTTAAGAAATTTCTTGTGTGTCCTTTCTGAGGTCTGGAAGGAATAAAGGGCTCTAAATTGTTTAAATTGAAACTTGGGAAACCAAAACGAAACTATTTTGAAACTAGGGGAACAAAAAGTGCAAGTGAGCTGTTGTCAAACACACCCCATTGTCAAAAGCTCTTATGGTAAGTGATCTAGAGACTATTCCTTCTTCCACTGCTCTTGCTATCAATTTCAACATAAGATGTATTAGGCACCAAATATTGGTAGTAATATTATTAGTAAGCTCATGTTTTGTTCTCATTTCAAATCCAACAGGCTTCATTGAAGGGGAGTGTTGAATTCATAAGAGCCCTTTTAAAACTTCACTTATAAGTTTGAACATTTGGTTTGGTATTTCTTTTGCACTATTAAGCTGTTTGTAACTTTTTATTATTACTAGAATAAGCAGAGCCAATATGCAGCAAAATGTCAGTGTACATTTAAATTTGAAACATGACAGAAACTCAAGTAGAGAGAGCTTACCTGAAAATGAAGAATAGTTGACTTTACTGATCTTGAATTTTTTCTAAAGTCATAAAATGAGTATCCCTTTGTAGTATTTTTACAATTCTGTTTGGTGTAGAGAACAGACAAGTCAAAATGGTATTATGCTCCTCAAAAATGGCATGATCGAAGAAAATTTTTCTCTAAAATATGAAAGAGAAAAGGGATCAATTGTTACCTTCACGGACTTGTCCCCTGAAAAGGGGATATTTTCATAATTCTTGTATTGCTCAAGCCTAGTTTGTCGATACCTTTCTCTAGTGATGCTAAGGCTATCCCAAGGAATTCCCTGTATGTCTTGTCCTCTTCTAGCCTGAGCAGCTGTAGTGTCCACCACCTTACCACTCTGTACCAAAACTACAATCTTACTCCCACAATGAGAAAGATAAATTGTATACATAGTTGGCAATCACTTGATGAATCAGTCAAGTAGGATTAACACATTTGACCTCAACACACCACCACTAAAGGCAAATGATTAATCATAATACGAAACATATTAATAAACTAGCCCAAACTGCAAAATGTAAAACAGATTGTTACAAACCGAGTAATCATATTCATCAACGTCAGACTCTACACCACCTCTTTCCCTATTATTAGATTCATCATCCATATCATCTACATCTTCCATTTCATATTCATCTGCCATATATTCAGCCTCAACCCCTCGGCGATTGGACATGTTCCGCCCAAATAATTAAAACCTACAAAAGCAATAAAGGAAAAAATTAGAAAATCAGAGGCAACCAATAGTCCAGTGTGAGCAACAACAACCGGGTCCAGAAGTTAAATACGTAAGTAAATAAATAAACAGTAACAATTAAAAAAATAAAAGTAACTAATCTAACCTGACTATGATTTCCAGAGTTCAAAAATCACCTAACAAGGACCACTAAGTTAAGTAATAATGGAAAAAAAAAAAAAAAAGCAACGAAAACATTATTCAATTTTATACCGAATTATATAATTGGAAACGCATAAAACCATGATTGGCATGGCATGTGCACCAATTAGCTATTCCTATGAATCCTGTGAAAAAAAAGGGCAAATACTAAAACTGAAACAATAACTTATACACAACCAAGAAATTAGGGTTCTAATATAACAACCTAAAAAATAATACAACAAAATCAAGGGAATTTATAAAAAACCAAAAAGGAAAAATTGAACAGTTTTTCCAAATTCATCTGAAATTTAACAACCTATATACAACCCAGATTTTAGAGTTCCAATAGAAATAAAATAACCCCCAATTTAAAAAAAAAATAATGGCATCCTTTTTATGATAATTTCTCAAATTCATCTAGAATTTCCCGATAATAGAACACGAATTTCACAACAAAAACCAAAAGTGGTTTTTATCCAAAGTTAATAAAATACGCGTAAAAAAAATTAGAAGAAAGAAACGTTGAGCAGAAATGAAAAATAAAGAAGAAATTAAGAGAAAGAAGGGAAAGTGAAAATTTGAGATTTGAGAGGATGCGAACCTTTGTTTGATTGTTCGAAGGAGCTGTGTCGATCTCAGTACTCAGAAATACAAATTAACGAATAAATATAAATAAATAAATAATACGATTAGTCTATTTTTTTTTAGAAAGTATAATTATGGAGAGAAAAATAATTTACCATATTATAAAAATTTATTTATTATCTTAAAATGAAAACACCTTTAAATTCGCATATTATATATTATAATATATATATATATATATATATTATATTTAGTATCTTAAAACTTTTTTTTATATAATTGAATTAATTTAGATATTTTTGTTATTTAAGTCTTTATAGATCTTAATTCAATTATTTTAATAACATATATTTTGACATGTTTTAGTATTTAGATTATAATTTAGACTATAGACTTCATTTTAAAGTAATTCTTGTTTTGTAAAAAATCTAAGAGATAAATATTTTGGTCTACAAATATTTAATTAGACTTATTCTAATAGTATTTGAAAGCTAACATTTAGGGCTTTAATTTACTTTTTGACTACAAAACTAAACATACACAAACTTATCATTAGAATTAGGATTTTGATTATTTTCTATTTTTAAATTTTAAACCTATTAAAAGGAGAAACAACCATATAGAGAGAGAGAAAAAGGAAAACAAACACAAACACAAACATGTTAGTTTCTTTTTCTTTTCCATCTTCTTCCATAATTTCTAAACTTTAGATTTTTGTGTTCGTGCCTATGAAAGAGTAATTTGTTAGATTTTTTAACATTAATATTTATATTTATATTAATTTATGGATTAGCATTATTAAATTATTATGGTTATGTTGTTATTAATTATGACATAAAATAAATGTGTATAATAATAATTATTATTATTATATAGATTTTGTAATTGGGCTCTTAGTGTGAATAGTACGTGATGGGTTAGACTATTATATGTGCCCAGTGAGAAGTTCCTGCTCTCATCTGATTAGGCTTATATAACTATTGCCCCATTAGACAGTTACCAGTGTGGGATAATAGCAATTAGATAAGAGAGTAGTACACGCTCACTCAAAACAAGGATTGCTTATGACTTATGGGTTTTCATCAAGATTGCTTATGACTCGTGGGTTCTCATCAGGTACGCGTTTAACGCAATTATTCAATTATATATAGTTGGAATTGTATAGAGTTGCTATGATGTGTATTATATATAATTGTGTTATCTTTAATATTTATATTTAAAATTCCTGCAAATGGTATCAGAGACAACTTAATACACATCATAATTTTCCAACTTTGAGCAACCAAAATGCTATAATTTTATGTATGGATTTGAAAAATAATTTAGGTTTTTTTTTCTTCTTCTTATATTCATAAATATCATATCCAAAAATTGTTAATTTTCATCGAGTATGTTAAGAGAATTTCCCAGTTTATTAATTTTTTGAAACTATGAACCCTAAAATCGTTTTCTTTCAAATTCTCTCATCATGGCAAAGGTTTATTTAAAAATTGATTAAGGGCTTTTATTAATAAATTGAACACGAACATAATCTAATAATTAATTCATTATTTCGTTCAATTTTAGATTGAGAATTTATTCTTTCTTTCATTTTGCGTTCGTCATTGCCCTATTTTTGTTGTACACATCACAAAGAACGTAGTGAACCCTACTCGTTGAAAGAAACTGTTTGGGTTGCTTGAATTCTCAATTACTTTGAATCCTCCATGGCTGCGCAGGTTTTAGCCTTTGAAACTCTTTTTTGTTATTCAAAATACACTCTTTGTAACAATATGAATTGGTACTTTAGAATGCAAGATTGAACTAGGTCGAGTTTCTGAATTTGTTGGACCCGTTTTGAAGCTGATGGGTTTTTTTTTTTAAGTGTATGAAGCCCCTCGCATGGCTAAGAGAGCGTCGAGTGGAGGATTATTTTGATATTAAATTTTTTGGACAATTTTCATAATTTTTTGGGCACTGTAAATATTTTTTAATTAATTAACTCGTGCCTAAATTAATTAAATAATTATTGTATTGATGGAATATGATCCAATTTTTTTTATACATGATTATACTAATATTTGATATTTATGACATTTTTTTATACTATTCACTCTCTTTTTGAATGTCATATATGTTAAAAAAAATAGTTTTATATAAATTATTTGATGTAATTTTAGTATAATTATGATTTCATGCATAATATACATATTTAAATTAATTCTGAATGCATGATTATTCTGTATAAATGTCATTTCACCTATCGTGAGACCATTTATACATGACTTGTGTAAATTATATAATTATATATATTGCATTAATAATAATTATATCCTATTGATGTATTGTTATTAATGTGATTTGAAAATACTATGCAATTGTGTTTTGCTTATGTCATTTTTTTACTGATACCCTATCGGTGTTAGGATTCTTGTGACATGAAGTTTTGTGCATTGTATTCGTCTTTCTTATTTATTGTGATCTGGGACCCTTAGGCGGGATCATAGTAAGTAAGAAATTTTGTGATGGGCATATTATTATTGCACTTGAGCTAATTGCGTATATTAAACTTTGTTGTTTCCCATATCAGTTTCTATGCCCACATCAGGGTCTATGCCCACTTCGGTGAAAACTTTGAACAGGACCAATTATGAGGATTGAGTTGACTCTGTTAAATTGTTTCTAGCCATTTTCTAATGTGAATGTTGCCCTTATTGAGAATAAGTCTAAAGTTTTTACACCTGAATCTTCCGCTGCGGTTATAGTAAAACATGTTAAATGGGCTCATTCTAATAAAATATGTCTAGTAATTATGAAGTTTATTATAGACAATGTTCTTGAGATGAGTAGTACTAAGAAGTAAGTTTAGTCACAAAATTCGTTGCAGATAAATTAGTGACAAATTCTTTGGCAAAGATTCGTCGCAAAATTGTGAAATCTTAATAGTGCCTCTAGGCAAGAAACTTAAGGAATTTGATAAGACGGAGAAAGCTTACTATCTTTTATTGTTCATAAAATCAATTAGCAGTTTCTTTGTAGGATATTGTGTAGACTCCAGGGGTTCTAGATTTTATTGTCTAACTTATACTACTAGAGTTGTTGAGTCACATGATATAAATATCTTATAATGTACGATATTACTACTCCTTCGAGTATGATTGTCTGCATTGTTAAGATGTTTATAGTTCGTGTTAGTTTATTTTGTCATCTTGTTATGGCCATATATTGTTGATTAATTTAGAATAATAAAATATTTTGATTTATGTTGTCCAAGTGGGAGATAAATTGTTGAATATTTTGTGTGGACTAACATAAATCAAATTTTGTTATAACTTGAATTTAATTCTAGAATAATAAAATCCATTTATGGTTTGAAGTAAGTTTCTAGACAGTGGTACTTGAAGTTTGACCAAGTGGTTACTTTTATTGACTTCAAGGAAAATGCTTGAGATCTGTGCATTTACTTGAAGATGAGTAAGAGCAATTTTATCATCTTTGTCATACATGTTGATGATATCTTCGAATGAGACAAAGAATATGTTGAGTAACCATTTTGATATGAAAGACCTTGATGATGCTTCTGTTATTTTAGGCATCCAGATATGTTGTGATAGGTCTTGTGTTACTCTTAGATTGTCTCAGCAAGGGTACATTGATAGGATCCTCAAGAGGTTTAATATGTATTTTTGCTCTCCATGTGTTGAACCTGTTCAAAGGGGTAAGAAACTCTCTAATTTTTAGTGTCTTCATGATGATAGAGAGTTGTTTTAAAATGGAGAAAGTTCCATATGCTTCTGCTATTGGGAGTTTGATGTATGCTTAAGTATGCACTTATCCCGATATTGCTTATGTTGATAAGGGCAAATACTTGAACAACCCATGTTTGGGTCATTGGAAAGCCATTAAGAAAGTCTTGAGATATTTGCAGGGAACCAAAGATTACATGTTGACCTATGCAAAGTCTGATCAACTTCAGGTCATTGGATACTCCAATTTTGTAGGTTACCCTGACGACCGTAAGTCTACTTCAGGCTTTATTTTTATGATGGCGGGAGGAGTTGTATCTTGGAAAAGTGTCAAATAGATAGTTATAGCTACTTCTACTATGAAAACAAAGTATATCGCTTGTTATGAGGTTACACGCTAGGCTATGTGACTAAAGAATTTGATTTCTGGCTTCCGCATTATTAACAGTATATTTAGGCCACTTGTGATTTATTGCGACAATACTTTTGCTATACTTCTCTCTTAGAATAATAAGAGTTCTACTCGTTTGAAATACTTTGATCTAAAGTATTTGTTTGTTAGAGAGAAAGTACTTGAGTTTTAGACTCAAATTGTACATTGCTACAAAGAACATGTTCGCATATCCACTAACCAAAGGCTTAACCATTGGAGCTTTTTAGAATCATGTAGCTCATATGAGTCTGGTCAAGTCTTTTTATATTTTGGATTAGTGGGAGTTAAATTTTGTACTTGTTTGTTGACATTATTATCTAATTTCTTTATGAGATATATGTTTTGTTGACGTCACTTTTATGACAATCTTTTTATACTTGGACCTTTGTGGAAATAATATTTATGTTTCCTTTATCTATATTGTGATTGGAATATAAGTTGCTTGTAGTATGTAATGTATATCCCTATCGGATATAATTGTATACTATCGAAAGCTTATTATTTCTTTGATGATAATTAATAACTTGTTACGACAACATAGTTTGTGAACTTAGTAATTTAATAATACTATCCAAGTGGGAGAATGTTAGATTTTTTAACATTAATATTAATATTTATATTAATTTATGGATTAGCATTATTACATTATTATGGTTATGTTGTTATTAATTATGACATAAAATAAATGTGTATAATAATAATTATTATTATTATATAGATTTTGTAATTGGGCTCTTAGTGTGAATAGTACGTGATGGGTTAGACTATTCTATGTGCCCAGTGAGAGGTTCCTGCTCTCATCTGATTAGG